GGGTCAAGCCGGGGGCCCGCGCAGCAGGCTGAAGGCGCTGATCCCGCCGGGCCAGTCGGAAACCGGTTTCATCCCCAGCCGGGTCACTGCGGGGCTGGGCAGGGAGATTACCCCCAGCCCTGCCTGGATCCAAGCACCTAAGGCAGGTGCCAGTGTGAGCGCTCCGCCGCTTGAACGGGAGGTTGTGACTTTCACGGGTAAAGACGTGCACCGTTATCTCCTTACAAGCCCTGACCTGGCTGATGGCGGAGTCAAATCTCTGGCAGTCAGCATTGGGTTCCTGCATTGGAAACCGTGAACCTGGGTTTTGAGAAATAGAAGCGGTCTCAGCGGAGTTGAGCTGGCTCACAGCAGCGCTGGGCATTCCCGTCCCCGCCTCGGACAGGGAGCAGCCTTGTGCCCTCTCTTGCCTTAACGCTGCTCCTCGCTGCCCAAGGAGGAGACTCCTTTCAGAGGCAAGATCGCAGGTTAGCTCCACAAGCACTGAATGGTGCAGAAGAAACTATGTGGTCAAACTGGAACGTTAATTATCTGTAGATCAGCGATGGTACTGTCTTAATAACCTCACAACAGAAGCCTTGGAGAAAGAGGAGCAGAATGGAGCCCCTTTTTTCTAAGCTCACATCCAAAATTCAGCACTGATTTCTACCTGTTAAATTCAGCAGTTTTCAAATGGTGACAGAAATTATACTGAATCCGGGTCTTGGGATGCTGGCAGATTTTAGATGCCATAATTCAGCCTTTGCATATTTAATTATGCATTCTTATCATTCCCATCCACCTGTGCAAGCTTTGCCTCCCTGCCCCCATTCCCCACACTACAAATTGCGCTATTCATGTTGTGCCACTAATATGCCAGCTGGGTGGACAGTTTCCAACAGTCCAACAATCAAATGCGAGTGACTCCAAAAAAACCTGAAAATAGAGTCTGTTCCCTCCCCCAAGCACAGAAAGATCTGTTCTGCTTAGCCGGGTGCTAACAGGCTCCTTCGCTCTACGCGACTTAGAGCAGAACTAAAAGGACACTCTGCCTGCCCAAAAGCAAATGGTCTTTCTGCTAAAGAAGTTAAACCCTTCTCCAGTTTCCCCAGCTGAGTGTCTTTCCCCTGTCCACCACTTTGTGTCTCTGTCTCACACATATATGGTGCAGACGGAGAAGCAGATCTGACTGTCTACAGGTCCTTTGGCTCTAGGACATTTTACAGACCAACGGTGGCCCCCAGGTGTCAGACAAGAGAAATCGGAGGCCCTGATGAAAATTTGCTACAGACTAGGTGGTTTTTTTCCCCTCCTTTATCCTTCTTGCCTGCTTCATTCTCAATATTTAAGGTACTCAGCTTTCTGTTTCTTCTCATATAGCTTTAGAATTCTATTCTTTTTCTTCAGTGTATCTTGGAAGTATTAGCCCTTATCACAGAGGCAGGTGTGTGTATTTATTCTGTATTTATACTGTGTATATTCTTTCTTATTAAGAGCCCAGAAGGAACAAGTTCCTTTTCAAAACATCCAATTCCTCATAAATAGCACACTTCCCCCAGTTCTCAGTCTCCTAGCTCTCTGCAAATGACTTCTAAATCTTCCCCCACCCCATAATGCCTTTTCTTTTTTATCTCTTCTAACACTAATTCTCCATTAACCGTCCCACTTGTACCCTACCTCTTCTCCTGCAGCTTGCCCTCTAAGCTGAATCCCAGTTGCCGTATTTGACCTCCAACAACTGATGAAGGAGAAAACCTGCACTAGATTCCATAACTGACCTGGGGACAGGAACAGGCTGAAGCTGGACAGGACAAATACTACAATTCCTGATAAATCTCTCAATTGCTTGAACTGATTTCTAAAATCATATGGTTCAGTCTGAAATTTCAGTGCTATTAGAGGTGCATCCATTGCACAAGTAATCTGACACTTGAGGTCAAAATCCCAGCACAGTTGGGAAACAGGCAAGTTTCCCAAGTGCACCAACTTACACCAGGGCTGAACTCAGCTCACCGCCAGAAAAGCTGGAGACTTGTTAAGCAATAACCAAAATTGTTTCCTCGGCAAAAATGTATTGCTGAACATCTGGGCAATCTCATTGTGCTAGAAAATGAAAATGGAGAATATTGATCGTTTGCCTCAGTGCTGCATTTTGGATGTCATTCTTCTGCGGTAACACTCCACCATTAGAAATCTCCTGTGCATGTGCTCACATTTTGCAGTTGATTTTTGCTTGGTTTAGGTACTAATGCACGCACACGATTTATGTGCAAAAGTATTTTGAGATTTTCTTAGCTTTTACTCACTAAATCCAAAAATGTTATTTTTAATTAGATTATGTTTACCATTTTGTAAAACTTGCAATTCAATTAGGTTAAAAAAATCTCTAAAAATGATTTGTTGAAAGTTACCACTAGCTTGAATAGACAGTCCTGCATTACGGTAATAACTACTTAATTTCTTACTCTTTATTTTTTTATATATATTCATATTGCTACTATTCTAATCCAGTTTTATTGTGTTGTTTTTAATCTGTGAGCAGAAAATCCATCTAAGAGGATAACAACTTACTGATGGTACCCACTAACGGAATTATTCTGTTAGCTAAACCAGTAAATGTTTGTGCTATGGATGCCAGAGGTCCAATACTCAGGGATGATCCCCAGGGGGTTATCCCATATCTGTGGCTAGATGCAAGGTGCTCAAGGTTAGGGTGGCCTCTTAACTATGTTGTGACCAGAACAAAGCAAAACAGAAGGCAGAAAGCCAGGGTGGTTGGCAGAAAAGTCAGTACAGCTATGGCCTGACAAACGGTGTTGCTCTCCCCTGGCAGGCAGAAGAACCTTGTGGAAGCAGCAGGAGCACCGGCAGCCCCCGAGGTTAACTTCACTACAGGAGGAACTTCACTACACCAGGAATAGGAAGAACTTCTGTATGGGACCTGGATCACTACAGGGATGAGTCAGTGTTTGGATGTTTTACCATTAACTACAGGGAAAGCAAGGGCAGGTCTCTAGCCTGCAATTGACAAGCAAAATTGATGAACTTTCAGGCATTTTTTTAGACAAAACAATTAGAGTAATAAAAGGACATTTGAAACGAGGAAAATGTGGTTTTGAAAAGCCTTTTCCATGACCCCAAGGGCACTTACTCACTATGTATCACCTTCCCAATGTAAAAAAAGGTCTATGAACTTATTCTCAGAAGAGACACAGAGAGAGAAAAAGAGAGAGAGAAAAAAAGGAAATATTATGTCATTTGATCCAAAACTATTCAGACATGTACTGTGGACTTACTGCTGGACTTCTTAAAGGAAATATTGATGTCATCCTGGCCTGCTTCAGACCCAGCAAAATCTAAATTATACACTAGTTTAAGCTTTTGGGTAACTTCTGGGTTTTGGTGTAACTTGACCAGTTAAAAAAACTAAAAGATTTTGAAGCAGGTACTGGCTTCCTGACCACATCTGACCACATCACTGAAGGGCAAGCACAACCACGCAAGTACTGTGTTGGTTAAATACAGCACAAAATTTAGGGAGATCTTGGCATGAAAGAAAGTCTACATATATATATATGTTAGCAGTGATTCAGATCTTGAATTTAATCTAGGTGTTGTGAATCACCCACTTGAGGATCCTTCAGATCTCTTTTGGCCAGAAAAGAATGAGAGAGAAGCTCATTTAGGATGAAATACTTGTCCTCTTCCCCAGACACACTCTCTATAAGCATATTTAAAACTAGGCTTCACCTTGTCTAGAGCATAGGAGGATAAGAGGTCTTTATATCACAAAAGATTAATCCATTTCTTAATTTTACACTCACAGTCATTCAGCCTTCAGCCATTTAAAACCAGAAAGTTTCACTCTAACACAAACATTCACAGTTACAAATCGAGAGACAAACCAAAAATGTATTTGTGAAAGGAAGGACCTAAAAAAAAAAAAGGCAATTTCTCATCTGGTAAACTGGTTTTACTAATAAAGTCTCTAGCCCTTTCATTAAGTAAACACATCCAGTTCTGCCCCTGAAGTCATACTCATGAAACGAAGGGTTTATAACAGCAATACTAACACTGCATTATCTAATGTAATTCTCTAATAAATAATGATGTATCACGCCAGAAGGGTTTAATTTGAAACAGATGGGCTAAGGAATGGAAACATAAGCAAAGTATTTTACTGTAATCACTATCCAGGAAACAAAAGGAGATTTGATATTATTGCCTGAGGGACCGCCTTCTCCCCCAACGTTTTTGTCTTAGATAACAGTAAACTTTTATTTTGCTAACGAAGCACAGGTGCTGCTGATTGCTCACAACAATGAAACACAACTCAGGCATTTTTCCTGATCCTGATTAGCAAGTGAGAATTTGCTTTTGCAACAGTGTTTGCTGCTTTTGCAAAGTTCAACTGATCTCTCTTTACACCATTTTATTTACTTTTTTTTCTATTTTAGAAAATAAAATAAATCTGTAGCTGTTACGGACTCGACAGTGTCAGCTTCTGTTGCATTTGATAGTAACAGTCACTGCTAAGCACTTAATATTTAAGCACCGCAGTCTGTGCCCTAAACCCACCCCTGCTTTTAGGTGCACTAGCCAACCATTAAAAGACCCGATCTGCAAAATTCACTTAGCAGGAAAGAGAGCACTCTGCTTGTAGAATCATTTGAGGTACCGTGACGTACATAATTACACTATTTAGGAGATTCCTAGTTGTAATGATCCATTTAATGCTTTGCAAGAAATATAAAGGCAAAATTCTAGCTCCCCCAAAATGGATATCCTCTCCTACCTCTGTGTCGGGAGCTGTTTCAGATATTCCCTGCTTTACTTAAGAAAAATCACCCTAGGGATGAGCTTGGCACAGACTGTCTAAAACCCACTGTTCCTTTTTTTGGAAACAAGCATTTAAATGCAGTGATTTCACATACAAGCTGCATTGAGGCTGTGTAGGCAAAACCCTGGGATTAAATAGTTTTTGGGGAAGTGACGCTAACTACAGGTCTGGAGAACCTGCAAGATAGTCAGCCACATATGTGACATTCTCTGCTGGCGACAGGGCAGAAATAGCAGCTGCAGCTCAGATTTAGCTAAACGAGCTTTCTGAACACCACCCCCGTTTCAGAGAGACTAAGGCCCAGACCAAGCAAAGCACTTGCTGAGACTGCACCTACCCTTAAATACATTAATAACCTTTCTGAAGTCAGTGGACCTTGTCAGTATTTTGCCAGCGTTTTAAAACCTCACACTTTCTGGGAGCAATAGTGAGTTTGGTACTTACTTTTCTCAGGTTTGGGAGGGTTTGGAGAGGTAGCATTTTTGCATCTCAAGATTTTCTCTGCACTTTTTTTCCCCACCTCTAGGGAAAAACTCAGAAACTCC